CCTGCCCTCCCCTTGCCTCCCCTTCTCCCTCGCCTCCCCCACTCCGAGTGCGATAACTACTGATCGTCCCTCCCCCCTCTGGATCGGAGGGGGAAGTGGATGGGCACGCGCTGTCTGGAGGAGGTCGGCAAGACGGCAACTCTGAAGATCAAGTTTCCGGGGCCAGGGGGGGAGTCGCGTCGGCAATCTCGAAGGTCACGAGCGGCGAACGTATCCATATCCACGCCCTCGCGGTCTGATATTCTGGAGCGCGATCACGTGAATACGAGGTCGCATGGATACATTCCGCGCGGGGCATCCGCAAAAAACTTCCCGTATCCACGACGACGCGGCCCGCCCACGACCAGGTGTGGTTCGGGATGCGTGGGGGTAGGATGGGAGTACTGGGGATTGGAGGTAGGCATGGGGATGGGGGTGGCGTGAGGTTGCTTGGCGGGGAGGGAGCGTAGGCGATGCAAATTGGGCTCGGGCATCGCATTGGGACGCCCGCTCGCCATCCTCGTCTGCGTCGTTCTCCTGGTCACCGTCCTCGTTCTCGAAGTGGTCGTAAATCGGGCACGTCCCTCTACAGGAGGAGCATTCAAAGATAATCAAGAAATAGTCGGGGGACGATTTGTTCTAGTCTTTTTTGACCCCTCTGGAGCATGTTGGGGGGTATCTTTCATTTTTCGCCCAAACCCCCCCCCAGTAGGGGGACATGCCCGACCTAAGAGTGGTCGCCGTCCTCGTCCTCGTCCCCGCTGGGAGCTCCGGGATTCCGCGCCGTCGCCGCCCGGTGGGGACGCCTCAGCTATCGGCCCTCCTGGCCCGACCCCAAACATCCGACGTATCAATGTTTCGAAACGCGAGCCCCCGATCTCTCGACCACTTCCCCGGGACCAGCTCTCCATCGCGGCTCAATTTTCGACGGCCCCCAAAAACCTGGGAGGGCCGAGGCCGAAAACCATGAGAGATTTTCGTTCCGATGTTGTCGAGACGCCAGGATTAGAGGGGCAAGAACTGCATAAAGAAACCGTCGGCGCTCCGCGCGGATCTCTCGGATCCGCGCTGGACCCCCCCCCCTCTGGCGCGCGAGCGCGACAATGGCGGCGCCAAAGGCGCCGCCATGGGGGACCCAGCGTGGATCTAAAAAGCACGCGCGGACCGCCAAAAGTGCACGCTGATGCCGTTTTGTCTTCTTCGAAGGATCGCCACTCCCACCAACCATCGACACTCCTGGGAGGCGCCCGGGGGAGTGGTCGGGGGCCCGCGGGAGGTGTCCACGCCACGCTCTTCAGGGTCAGCGGGCGGCGACGGGCTTGAGCGCACAGACCCGCTCGCGGCTGCAGGACGGGGGGGAGGAGGAGGAGGAGGAGGAGGAGGAGGAGGAGGAGGAGGAGGAGGAGGGAGGAGGAGGAGGAGGAGGAGAGGAGGAGGAGGAGGAGGGAGGGAGGGAGGAGGAGGGGGGGGGGGAGGAGGAGGGGGGGAGAGGGGAGGAGGAGGAGAAGGAGAGGAGGAGGAGGAGAGGAGGAGGAGGAGAGGAGAGAGGAGAGGAGGAGGAGGAGGAGGAGGCAAAGGCCAAGGCGCCTAGGGGGCGGTTCTGAACGCAGGGCCCCGAGTGGGGCCTTGAAATCAGGCAAGGGCGCCCCTGCGAGGTGTATGGACGCAAGGCCTCGCGCTTCCGCGGGCCTGCCTGCCACGCGCGCGCTCGGCGAGCGCCTCACCCCCCCTCTGCCCCCCCCCACCCACCCACCCGGCCCCTCACCAGAGGGCGCCAGGACGCTCGGGCGACGCAGCGGGGGAGAACCCGCTTACAGTCGGGGCGTTGACCTAAGGAACCCAAAATAAGGAACGAGGCCCCTTCTTCCCATCAGTTACACTTCGATTCCCCATGGAACACCTGAGGAAAACGCAGGGCAAACCGTAAAACCATCAAGGAACACCGAGCCCCCTCCCCCAACGACCAGGGCTCCTTCTTCGGCGGCCCGACTGCACACGTGCTTCGGGGAAGAGGCGAGGGTCGAGGCTGGCCCCGGCCCCGTCGGCCAAAAGGCGGGGCCAAAGCTCCGAGGGGGTCGGAGCTCCGCGGCCCCGAAGCGGGGGGCGGGGCGCCAGGGAGGCAAGCAGAGGGGGGGGAGGGCGGAGGCGAGGAGTAGCGAGCGAAGAACGGTATACAATAAACTTGTTCGCCGTCGGGGGTGCCTGTCCCTGGGCGGCTGGAAAGTCTATACCCCTACGGTGGCACCGTGGGGGTATAGACGTTCCAGCCGCCCAGGGACAGGCGCCCCCGACGGCGAACGAGTTTATTGTATACCGTTCTTCGCTCGCTGAGGAGCTGGCAGGGGGAAGGGGCGGAGGAGGCGAGGAGGCCCAGCCAGCGAGGAGAAGAGCCGGGGCCGCGGACTGGCGCGGGCCCATTCCTGGGGGGCCCTGGGAAATGGGGGGGGTCTCTTTTCGGCAGTGCGACGCGCCAAACGGCAGACATGTGTTGCTAATTCATGTTCAGCCAACTTGTACTTAGTGTCGATACCCACCGCAAACATTCCAAACCGAGTCCAAACGTGCATCACCTGCAAAGCGTCTTCAATGTCGCATTCGACCTGCATCTCGTGTTTTCTTTCGTTCAACGTCATTGCTCGCCCGTCTCGGAAAATGGCTGTCACGTTGTCCAACATGAGATCGCGCAAACTGTCAGCATTATCATATCTGGGACCTCGGATGCTTTCGTAACGCGCCATCACCTCGTCGAATATGTCATCCAACTTTTGTTTGAGCGAATCCGAGAGACCGTGCTTTTCGGAAAGAGCCAAGCAAAGGGCCTCCCAATCGTCAACGAGATCAAATGTTATCTCCCGCGCGCAGTGAACCTCTCGGGATAACTGTTCTACACAAGCTTTCGTCGACAAACGCTCGCGACGCCTCGCAAATGCATGCGAGGCTGGGCCCACGAACGCCCTGTGTGCCATCAATTCCAAGAGCCTGCCACAGGAGGCGCGGCATTATTACTCTTCTTCTTCCCGTGCGTCTGCCAAAAACATCGCCTGGCGAGGTGCTCCGAACTGGCCATCGCTCGGACGTCAATGTCCTGTGTTTTTTCGGTTTCGTGCGTGTTTGTTTCGCGAAATGGTCAAGGATGCTCCTCGATAGTCCTCGCCGAAAGAAAAATGCACACGTCCGAGCGATGCCAAGCGAAGGTCGACCGAACACGCTTTCTGCTGCAATTCAGCTCCAAAAGGCCCGAGCGACGGGCTCGGGGGTACAATCTTGTGCTCCCCGTTGCTGGAGAAGGGAGGAGGAGGAGGAGGAGGAGGAGGAGGAGGAGGAGGAGGAGGAGGAGGAGGAGGAGGAGGAGGAGGGAGGAGGAGGAGGAGGAGGAGGAGGAGGAGGAGGAGGAGGAGGCTCGTTGCCAGCCTGAGGTTCATAAAAAAAGGTCTCCCGCCGCAGAGGCAATCTCTGAAGCAGTTCCCTCCTGGGTCCGCGCCGCACGACGCTCCCCAGGGCCTCTGGGGGCGGCCCGTCCTTTTTGGGGTCCGCGCCGAAGGGCGCAGGCCCGAGGCCTGTGGAACGCTCCGGTTTGTCTGTCTATCTCTGGCAATTGTCCTGTCTGTCTCTGCCAGTTGTCACTCCCAGCGAAATGTGTTTCAACCTTCTCTGAATCAACTGTGTTCGTAGAGCTCTCTGCGCAATTTCCCAAAGCAGCTATGCACATTTTTTTGCGAGGCCAAAGTCAGAAGACCAAGCCCGTTCCTCGCTAGGAGGATCAAGAGAAACAGACTGTGAAGTATCACGCAAAAGACACTTGCGCACTGTCGTAAGACATTGAGCTCAGCACTTGCAAAGGTAAGATCATGAAGCATATCCTCTGAAGAAACTCTTCGATCGCGTGACCAACAAGTCTAATGACATCTGTTGCCCGTGTAGACGGCGGTACTCTCTCAACTCTTTGAAAAAGGAGCTGTTCTAATTCCAGTTGTTTGCTCGGCCGAACATTGCAAATCTTCGTGCGTTACATAATCCCATACGAGCACAAACACAGAAAAGCGCGACAAACAGAACGAAGTACGGTTTGCGGATGTGCTCTCTCTCTTCCCCCGCTCCTTGTCCTCTCCTGCTCTACGGATCCCCCTCCCCTTGGCCTGCAAGGCGAGTTGGGCCGGTACCTGGCTGGGTATCTTCGTTACCCTTCGGGAAAGACGTTCCCTCAACTGCTTGCTCCGAAACGCCGTCTAGGAGGAGGAGGAGGAGGAGGAGGAGGAGGAGGAGGCGGCGGCGGCGGCGAATCGGTATCGGGTAGTGCATCGAAACGAAAACTTCGAAAAACCACGCCTCCGAGAATCCTCAGAGATGTGCGACCTAGCGTGCACTCAAAAGTGAAGGAGTCTGGCCCCCACGGGGGAGCCCCGCGTGGAAACTCGCGCAAGGAGGAGGAGGAGGAGGAGGAGGAGGAGGAAGGAGGAGGAGGAGGAGGAGGGAGGAGGGAGGAGGGAGGAGGAGGAGGAGGAGGTCTGGGCTCGCTTCTCCCACCAACCAACCCTCCCTCCTGCACCGACGGCCCCCTCCCTCTCGGGAGCGGCCAAGAGGGGGGTGTTCAAGAGGGGGGGTGCAAATCATGACCGGCGGCATGTGCGCGGCCCAGCGGGGGGGCCAGGGACGTAATGAAATAAGTAGAGGCGCCATGAGATCTGGGGAGATATCATGGGCCCCGCCATGACATCCACCCCCCCTAGTCATCACCCCCCTCGCGACCCGCGCCGCGCCGCGCCGCCGCGGGCCAGGGCGCCGCGGGCGCCGAGGCCCGCGCTCGCCGTCCTTCGGGAACAGGGAGACCAGGGCGCCGGGCCTGGCGAGCGGGGACGTAGGGAGGGGAAATAAACCTCCTCCTCCTCCTCCGCCTCCTCCTCCTCTCCTCCTCCTCCTCCTCCTCCTCCTCCCTCCTCCCTCCTCCTCCTCCTCCTCCTCCTCCTCCCTCATCCCTCCCCTTCCTCCTCCTCCCGTTCTTCTTATTTCAAGTATTCGTATGATTCGTATTTTTATGATTATTAATAGTATTAGTCGTGTTCTTATTCGTATTCGTATTATCATTAGTTTGTTAGTCTTATGGTTATTATTCGTATTCGTCGTAGTAGTAGTATTGTCGTTTTCTGTTTATTATTAGTACTAGTATGTGTCGTAGTATTATTCTTATGCTCAGTAGTCGTCTCCCTTTTCGTATCCTTGCTGGGTTGTCTTAGTATCAGTATTATTCGTAGTTTTTCTTAGTTTATTCCTCGTATTCTTTAGTTGTTCCTCGTCGTCTTTCTTATGTGCTCCCTCGTTGTTCTTCTTTTCTTCGTATCAGCATTACTGTGCTTAGTTGTCTTTGTTTCTTATGTTCTTACTCGTCTTCTTCATAGTATTCAGTATTCGTGCAATAATGAGTCTTATCACTATTGTTCTGAATATTCTGATTATTCCTACGATTATTATTTTCATTGGTAATATTCGCACTCGTCTTAGTATCAGTATTATGCATATTCGTAGTATGAGCATTATGACTATCAATATTCGCATTAGTATGCTTAGTATCGTTCTTCTTAGTCTTCACAGTATTACTATGATTCGCATTATTGTGTGCAATAGTATTCGTAGTATCCGTCTTATACTTCTTCATATTATTATTATTAGTATGATTCGTCTTCTTATGATTAACACTATTCGTAATATTTTTAATCGTATCATCGTTTGTCTATATATGTATTTCTATTCTTATTATTATTCCTCCTCCTCCTCCTCCTCCTCCTCCTCCTCCTCCTCCGCCTCCGCCTCCGCCTCCGCCTCCGCCTTCGCCTCCGCCTCCGCCTCCTCCTCCGCCTCCGCCTCCGCCTCCGCCTCCGCCTCCGACTCCGCCTCCGCATCCGCCTCCGCCTCCACCTCCGCCTCCGCCTCCGCCTCCGCCTCTGCCTCATCCTTCTCCTCCTTTTCCTCCTCCTCCTCTCCCCTCCTCCCTCTCCTCTCCTCCTCCTCCTCCTCCTCCTCCTCCTCCTCGTCCTCCCCCCTCCTCCTCCTCCTCCCTCCTCTTCCTCCTCCTTCCGCCTCCCTCCTCCTCCTCCGGCTCCTCCTCCGCTCCTCCCTCCTCCTCCTCCTCCTCCTCCTCCTCCTCCTCCTCCTCCTCCTCCTCCTCCTCTCTCTCCTCCTGCTGCTCTTTCTTCCTCCTGCAAGTGTTCCCCCAACAGTTTCCACAGCGGCTGAGGGAGTCCGTAGCCCAATAGCTTTGCAAAACTTCGACACTTGGCTGCAGTAGTTTGCCGTAGGCGTCGTCGACACATTGTGACGATCTATCAGGCGGGAGTCGTTGTAATCCGGGGGCCAGGGGCGCAATTTGACGCACAAGAATTTGACTGGCACAAACCAAGGTGCGAGCCACGGGGGGGCACTTCAAAAAACAAGCACTGCCTGCGTGTGAGGAAAAGTCAACAATAATCACTCGAATGACAAGAGAGTTCGACTTACGCCTTACGTTGGCATTGTGAGTTCAAACACCGAACCACACTCCAGAAGACGATATTGATTTCTCATGCGACGCAGCGGCATCACTGTGCCAAGTGAAAGTAGGAGGCAAACTGTGGCACGGCACGTACGCCTGGCCGGGCGCACGGACGAGGGCATAGGGGGGCGTCATCCTCCTTCTCCTCCTCCTCCTCCTCCTCCTCCTCCTCCTCCTCTTCCTCCTCCTCCTCCTCCTCCTCCTCCTCCTCTCCCTCCTCTTCAATCCGTGTTCCCATTATAAATCCCACTAGCCCATTTGGGCGTGAGTGGTTTACGTAGGGGATTTCCTCTTGCACCCCCCCCCCTCTTGTCCTTCGCGAAAGAGCTATCACTGTTTCCTATGAATATACACCCTCTCCCCCAGGCGACTGGCAGCCAATCAGGACCAATGACCCCCCCACGCCACTGTTTTAATACAAAGTATACGTTTGGCAAATAAATGTGGTCATGATCGTGGGCCCCGCGAGCACTTTGCACTGTTCGTTGGCACGGGCGGCGGCGGGGGGGGGACTCATCTTGCCTGCTGCGCGCAAGGCCACCAACACCTCTCAACAAAAAACAATGCATAATCCAATTCGTGGCTGACTCTGTATCACGCGCTGCCACCACGCAAACACTGTCCATTAGTTTTTGACAAGGACGGCGGGGGTACTTGCATATTGCCTGCTGTGCGCAGGCCCGGCAGACACCATGAATGGCCTTCAAGCCGCGATTGTGCATTGGTTTTCGACAAGGATGGTGGGGACCGATCTCTTTCCCGATGTGTACTGTCACGTGCGCGGGCGAACCTGGCACACTCTGCGCGTGCCCTGATCGTGGCGCACATGGCACGGCTGGACCATGCGGCACACATGGCGCACGTGGAGCACGTGGCGCATCTGGCTCGCAAGACGTGCCTGGAACGCTTGGGCCCCAGGGGAGCCTGGCGCACCTGGCGCGCGTGGCGCGCCTGTCACGCCTGGCACGCGTGGCGCAACTCGCCCGAGCGTCGCGCACAAAGGGTCGGTGCCGGTTTCCAAGAGATGTCCATCCATAGACGACCACTGAACATGCTGAGGCTCGGTTGCTACGTATGTGTTGGGACGGCGGGTGGAAGTGAGCAAGAATTATAGGGGAGTCTTGATCACAATCCCCTACTATTCATAAACATCCCCTCCCCCAGGCGACCTGCAGCCAACCCGGACCAATGAGCCCCCCCTTCCATCCCTGGCAAAAAGCAAGGCAAATTGAATTGTGCCTTTGCTTATGGCGCATGCGCGGGCGCCCCGCGACAACTTTGCAATGGTTTTTGACAGGGACGGCGGGGGTGTCGGCACATAGCCTGCTGCGCGCAGGCCAATCATCCCTCTCAAAGATAATACCAAAATTCACTTTGGCTTCAAATCTGGAGCATGCGCAGGGCCCTCTTTTCTCCTGGCCCGCATCTGTCTCTCCACTGCTCAAGATGTCACTATTTGCCCATCGGTGCCAGTGCTCTGCGCTCCCTGGAAGAGCCGCCCTTCTCACAGAATGCCCGGTACATCGCTGAAGGGGAGGTCAAAATCCTGATCTCCTTGTGGCGAAGAACATTGGCCTGCTGTGCACTCCGGCCTACCCGCCCACGGAGGAGGGGGACAAATCCAGCCCCCCCTTCATCACGAGCACCTGATGACAGAGAATGGCGCGGCACTGCGTGCAATGAATGTTTCCGGCGGCACCCGTCGCGCCTCGAGTGCCCAAGCCTCTGTATTGGGATGTGCGTAGCCGGCGGACCCCGACGGGGTCGCACACGATGAGGGAGCGGGTGGGGCACACCGGCCCCCGTACCAAACTCGAGGGTGCTGCCCTCAAGCGGTACGCCCACTGCGTGCCCCCACCCGGCCCTGTACAATTTCCCGCCGGACCTCCCGTGTCACCGGCGCCGCCGGCAACACTGCGGCCAGAAGTCGACGGGGGGGGTGGGATGGGTGAACGAAGGCATGCACTCGAGCAAAAATTGTTACGGACGGAAGTGCTTCTCCCACCCGCACCATCCCGGCAAGTCTGTCCAATGTTACCAATGATAAGTCTTATCCTGTACAACATTGGCCTGCTGTGCAATCCGGCCCACCCGCCCACGGAGGAGGGGGACAAATCCAGCCCCCCCTTCATCACGAGCACCTGATGACAGAGAATGGCGCGGCACTGCGTGCAATGAATGTTTCCGGCGGCACCCGTCGCGCCTCGAGTGCCCAAGCCTCTGTATTGGGATGTGCGTAGCCGGCGGACCCCGACGGGGTCGCACACGATGAGGGAGCGGGTGGGGCACACCGGCCCCCGTACCAAACTCGAGGGTGCTGCCCTCAAGCGGTACGCCCACTGCGTGCCCCCACCTAGCAGCATCCCGCGACACTACACTGCACGCTTGAAGCACTTGCGGCACTCAAGGCTCCCACTGGGGCGCGCGTCAGAAACGCTACCTCCGGCCGCTGCCCACGGCCATCCGCACCAAGTGGTGCAAAAACTCCGCGGAATGTGAATAATCTGCGAGTCCGGGTTGATGACCCTGGCGGGCGGCCTGCTGCCCGCAGCCTCCGCCCCAACTACTGCTTCCTCGAGGCGGGCTGCGAACCGCCGCGCGTGGTCGAGGATGACCGGGTCGATGCCGCCTGCAGCTGCGGCCGCCGACGGCGACGGAGCGGAGGTCGCTGCCTGTGCTGCGGGCGCTACAGAGACCGAGTCCGCGGTCTCCTCGACGAGCTCGTCGAAGCGCTGCGGCACCAACGTGCGCTGAGGCCCCTGGGGCAATCCACTCGCTTGGAACACAGCGTCCGCGAAGCTGGCCAGGTCCAGCTTGGCCAGGCCTGTCTCGACCTGCGCCGCGAGGCCCTCGCCCTGGCCCTGCAGAAATGTGTCGCGTATGTAATCCAAGACAGCGGACGAGCCCCAACGGCCGAAGACCTGAATGCGCCAATCGCTGATGCCGGCGAGTGCCATGCGCTGGGCACCAGTGACCCGGCCACTGTGGCCAGTGATGCGGAGGTGTGGCGCCCCAGCAGCCGCCGCGATAGCCACGAAAGCCGCGACTACCGCGCGCTTCGGCGGCGGGCGCCCGTGAGCGTCAGGCACGAGAGGTGCCGCGGCATGCTGGACCATGACCTGCTCGAGTGGCGCCTGCCCGAGCTCCCGAGATGGCACGGCCCGCGTGGCGAGGCGTCGCAAGGCAGCCACGGGGCACAAGATGGATGGGCATGCGCACGCGTGCGTCCTTGCCTTGCCGAGTGCGGCGGCGTCAGTCTTCGACACGGGCAAGTCGAAAGTAGCGCGGCCGCACCCCTGACCAGCTGTGAAGCGAACCTGGCCCACCGTGGCAGTGCCTAGCTCCACCTCCCGAAGCATCCACCAACAAGCGACCAGCACGGCATCCCTCGCAGCCACCGGCCACGCGTCGTCGATGATGATGAGCTCCTCCTGGGCGTCGCTGAGGGCACCCACCGCCTCCAACGGGAAAGGGCCAGCGCGCCGGGCCGGCCCTCGGCCCCTGGCAACAGCCCTGCAGCAGTCGCGCATGGCCATTGCCAACTGCGAGCCCCAAGCGAAACCAGCGGCAACATGCGTCCGCTTGAGGGTCGAGAGATACTGCTCGCCGGACCGGCATCGACCCTTCCGGAGCAGGGCGGCTGCCAGGGCGAGACTGTCCACGGTGAGGCCACGGCAACATGCCCCGTGCTGCAGCGCGCCGCCCCCACCAATGCACATGCGAAGCCTGCGTGGCACGCGTCCCTGGTGCGAACATGGCGCCCTGTAGCCCCTCGAGCGCCGCGGCGTCCCCAGATGCAGCGCCCAACCCTGCCGCGGACCCCCGCGAGTAAGGGCCCGGGCGCGCAGGACCCCTGCGAGCCTCGAGGGGAGGTGTCGCCGGGACGCAGGCAGACGCGCGCGCGATCCCGCGGCCCCCGGCAGGCCGCACCTCCTCCTCCTCCTCCGCCTCCTCCTGCTCCGCCGCGTCCTCCGAGGCCTCGGAACTGGCAGGCAGAATGTCTAGGTTGGCATTAGCGCCTGCCTCAGGTGCCCGCGCCGCCGCCCGCGCCATGGCGCCGGCAGCCGCGGCGCTGGCTGGGAGCGATCCGGAAACCGCCGGATGCTTCGCCGAGGCCGGGGCCAACACAGGAGGATGACGAAGATACGCCAAGCCAAAACCAGGCACAGGACCACCGCGATGATGCAGAAGGTAGGCGTTGTAGTACTCCTGCAGCGTGGCTGCCCTGAATGGGCGTCCGTCTACCGGCGCAGGCGCAGACGGACGAGGCACCTGCTGGGAGAAAGTGCTGCGACGTGGGTCAGCGTGCACAGGCGAACGTACCAGCAAGGGATGACCAAAAGCAAAGTGAGATGCAGAACGACCGCCCCCTCCCACCTCAACATTCGAGTTCGCGGCAGCACGAGGCGGAAAACCAGACAGAAAACATGGCGGCATCACGCGCCCTTCAGGCAAGGGCGCAACACGCACGCATGCGCATGGCCGAGCCGAAACACTACGGACGCGGCGACGGCGGACACGAGATGGCGCCACCGCATTTTCCTTCCAGGCAACGTGATGCGATGGGCGAGCTATCGGCCACGCGGCCGGGACAGGTTAACAAATTGTCCCCCCGCCCCGGGCGCACACGCTAGCTGGCGCGGGGTGCTGCCCCGGCCGAGTCGCCGCCCCAGGAGACGGGCGTGCGGCGACGATGGACGAAGGGGCGAGATGAAGGCGCAGCACCTCACCCGTCAGGCAAAAGGATGCGATGCGCAAGTCGCCACACCCCTGGGTGGCTTTAAAACGGGATCGCCCCGTGACTTGCCGCCAGCATGGGGCGCTGCCCCAGCCGAGCCGTCACCCCAAGGTGACTTTAGGCGGGGGCCCCCCGCGGCTCGGGACGACAGGACAAGGCGACACACAGAGTCGCCGCCCACGCCACCCGCGCAATGGCCCCGGGCACGCGCAAGGGCAGCGCCCCAGACCTGGGCAGACGCCGCGGACCGGGGCGGGATGATGATGATGATGACAAGCCCTGAGGTCAGGGTTCGGCCGCCTGGCCGGCCTCCTCAGATGAGGAGCACGTACTGGCCGACGGGCCTCACGACCTCTGCGCCAGCGCGACGAGCTGCTTGAAAGCCGCAGCCCTGGCCACCGCGTCGCCCCTCGACTCCTCGGAGTCGGCACTGGCCCGCTCCGCCCGCGGCGACGCAGCAGCAGCGGCAGCTGCGACGCCGTGCTCGAGGCCGCCGAGGGAGTCACGGCGGCCGCCGTCCAGCGCGGCCACGCGGCCGCCGAGGCCGCCACCTTGCCCACGTCCTTGCCCTCGTACGCTCGGTGCGGCCCGAGGATCCCAGGGCCCTGGCCAACCGCCGAGGGCGGGGACTCTTTCCCAGGCAGGCCCGTGGCGCAGAGGGGGGTACGTGGCACACGGCCTGCACACCGCCCCCGCTGCTGCTGCCTCGGCGCCGCGCCCGCTGCCCTCGAGCTCGGCCGAGGCAATGGCGCCGTCGCGCTCGTCCAGGCCGGGTGCGGCTGCGCCAGGGGCCTGCTGCTCACGCGCGCCAGCCGCCGCCAGGAGGCGGGCGACGCGCTCGGCGAAGCCCAGCGGGCCCAGTGCCGTCGCGGCGTGGCCGTCCCGCGCGCCCGACACGCCACCGGCCGCGGCCGAGCCGCTCGCCACCCCCGCAGCAGCCTCCTCGGCGTCGTGCGCGGTGTCGTCCAGCGCGCCCACGGGGTCGACGTCCAGCGCGTCCGAGCCGTCGGCGCCCGCTGAAAGGCAGTCCGCCGCCCCCGCAGCTGCATCCTCCGCGTCGTGCTCCGCGTCGTCCAGCGCGCCCTTGGCGTCGACGCCCAGCGCGTCCGAGCCGTCGACGACCGCCAGCGATGTGCCCGCCTCTGCAGCATCAGCCGCCTCAGCGCCGAAGCCCAGCGCGCCCAGGAGGCCGTCGTCCAGCGTGCCCGAGCTGCCGAGGCCCATCGCTAGGCCGAGCGCCTCCGCAGCAGCTGCAGCCTCGGCGTCGTGCTCGTCGTCGCCCAGCGCGCCCTCGACCGCGACGTCCAGCGCGGCTGAGCCGTCGAAGGAGTCCATCTAGGCCGAGCGCCTCCGCGGCTGCTATCTCCTGAGTGTCGTGCTCGTCGTCGCCCAGCGCGCCCACGTACTGTACGTCCAGCGCGCCCGAGCCGTCGAAAGCCGCCTCCGAGCCGCGCATCGCCCCCGCGCCAGCAGCCCCAGCATCGGCACACTCCGCGACGTGCTCCACGCTGTCCGCCGCGGCCGAGGAGATGACGCACTGCGTGGTCTTGCGGCGCAAACCCGTGATGGCGGCGGCACTTGGCTTCCTAGCAGCAGCAGCTCCTTGGGCTCCCCTGAGTCGTGCCCCAGCACGCCTATCCCTTCGAGCTCCTCGAACTTCCGCCTGCTGGAAATCTCCTCTGGCCATCGCGTGTCCGAACATGGTGTTCCTCCCTTCCTGCTCGTCACACCAGGACTGTGCCCTTTCACGCACTCTTTGGTGAAGTGCAGCCATTCTGCTCTCAAAACCTGCCTCAGGCACTGCCCCGTCCGTGCCACTGAGGATGTCAACCTTCGTGAAAGTGGTGTGAACCTCTCTTGTCGTCTCCAGCCGTCTAAGAGGGGTGGTGCTGTCGATGAACTTCTTCAGCTTCTTGAAGGGACCGAAGCCACGCCTCAGGTTGTGGAGGACCTCGAGGCCCTTGGTAGTGGCGACTGCGCAGGGCTGTCGCAACTTGGCCTTGCGCCGCTGCAGCGCCCAAGCCCCACACTTGACACAGATGAACACTGGCCTGTAGGTGTCCTGCCCGTCGCTCTCCAAGGTGCCCTTCAGGTTGACCGCGACCAGCTTGTGGCCATTGGGGTTGCGCCGATGGTCCAGCAGGAAAATGGGCGTCCCAGGGCACCCCGTGAGGGGGAGCGGTTGCCCAGGCATGTGCAACTGTAAGCAGGTGATGCATTGCACGCCCAGCTCGCCATCTTGCCATTGGTGCCATGTTGCCTTCCTTGTGCTCGCTGCTCGCCGCCAGGTCGGTGCCCTCCTGGTCCACCTGATTTGGTCGTCCTTGTCGAAGATGGGCATGACGTGGGCGATCAGCTTCGCTAACTGGGAAATTCTGTCTACGCCCTTCTGCATCTCCTCGACTACGTGCGGCTCGGGGGCGGGGTGGATCGCCGCTGCCTCCTTGGCCCTGAGGTCCGCTACAATGTTCGCGTCCGTTATCCTCCTCTGGCTGTCGGAGAGCGCTGCATACTCGTCCCCAGAGCGGTGCGCTTTGACGTGGGCGTACTGCTGCACGTGCGCGAAGCCGTCGAGCGACTGCGCGAAGTGGGCGATGCACGCATAGGGGGGGGGGTCCTGGCCTTCAGCTGCAGCTCTTTCTGCTTGTTGCCCAGATGGATGACGCCCTTGAAGTCGGCGTGGACGGTGCATGGTCGGTCTGCAACCTGAGACACGAAGGCTGCCGCTAGATGCTCTCCGACGGCAGACTCTTGGGGTAGGGACGCGGGTACTGCTCCGTGCATGGTCGCCAGCGGTATGTCTGAGCGGGGGTCCAGCAGGGCGAGACTCCATCCTGCTCGCTGGAATTCCTTGATGGGCGGCTTGGTGCACGAACCGTCAGTAGCGACCTCCATACTAGCATCGTCATCCCTGAGGAAACAGGCTGCCAACTGCTCAGGCTCCTGACATACTTCGTCTGGTACTGGGACTCCTTGGCCGTCAAGTATGACGCTGGTAGTGCCCAAACTCATTGTCGGAACATCAGCACACGCATATCCAAACATACCCTCAATAAAACCAGGCTCATCTGCATGCATGCGTAGCCCGTCGAGGAAATGTTGTGGGACCTCTGCATCAGCTCGAGCTTGCTGAACTTCAGGTCTTGTGCAATCAAGAAGCCGGTGCACCAGCGAGTCGGGAGCTCCACAGGGACACCTACCATCTGTGTTGTATCCACGCTGTTGGGCTCTCATCCTTGTCCAGACTCCACTGCACGCTACATTCATGATGCAGAACTTCTGGTGTGCCGTGTACCGTTTGCTGCGCATGGAGACCAGGGGGGCTAGGATGTCGAAAGTGGCACGCTTGCCCTCACCAAGGCCAATCTTGCCCGCTAGGTCTCGCTCATGCTGACATTGAACGCCTTGCTGCAACATCTGGAGCAATAAGCTTGGGGTGAGCTGCTCCACAAATACCTGATCCCCTCGATGGTTGCGCCACCTCAGTGCCGAGGTTGCTGTCCAGCCTGCCCGCGCCAGCGAGAGGGCAGCTCGTTGGAGAGGCCCACGGGTAGCTCCCCACGAGCTGCATACCCCAGGTACTTCCACCGCTCTTCGCCACCACGTTGTAAGCAGTGCCAGAGGTACTGGTGCCTGAGTAGGTTGCGATACTGCCATCCAGACCATCCGCGACCACTGCAGCACTGGCGCCATCGCAATCGCCACTGCGGGGTCGCCCAGTAGCACCACCTTGGCCGAGGCCGAGACACCCCCATGACAGGGTTTGCGGAACTTGTCGAAGTCTGTTCGCAGCTTGTGGAGCTCCCTGTCGGTGAGGCCCGTGATCTCCACGCCGAAGGTGGCCGCAGGTCGAGCTCCAGCTCGGAATATCTTGGCCGTGCGCTGCGTCTGCTGCCCTGGTAGTCGATGTCTGAATCGCCCCAGCTTTCGAAGCCTCTGCTTGTTGATCTTGTGGCGTGCCTGCTGCTTGGCGCGGAGGAGCTTCCCTCGCCTCCTCCGTGCGCCCGCGAAGTCAGTGCCCAGGTATGTCGCCCGACTGCGATTCATGTCCGCAGGGAGTTGCAGCTGCCGCACCACTTCCTTCCCAATATCATTTGAGCTGGCCACCACAGCAAGCTTATCATTAATACGGGCGCCGAGCTTCTTAGCCACATTGAAAAAGGCATTGCCCGCCTCGACCGCCTGCAGGATGACACTCTCCTTGGTGGCTCCGTTGATACCGAGGGAGGTGTCGTCAATGTAGGACGCGAACCTTACCAGCGGGTGGAGCGTGACATAGATATCGTACTGCTCGATGGCGTGCGCCTTTATGACCACGTCTGCGTAGCCATCGCCTGCTGGGAGGCCGAACTTTGCATGCCGTGGCTGCGCGCCGTGATGCTGGTGGAGACGTATCAATCGTGGTGCTCTCCACTGATTGTACACAATTTTTACCATCGCCAAGGGCATTCCAAGCCTCAGCAGCTTGTCCCTTGCTTCGTCCAGGGGAATCAGCTCGTAGTACTTGCTGTAGTCAGCAATGATGGTGGCCGTGTGCCGCCCTGCCTCTGCATTCTGCTCCGCATCCGCTGCCAGGATCCAGGCACTGTCGACCGCGCTCCTGTTCTTGGCAGCCGCCCAATAGGGCCTTCGCAGGGCCTCTTGCAGAGGTAAGAGGGCAGGTTTACGTAGTCGTTGCCAGACTCTGTAGGCCATAAGGACCGGGGCGGGAGGACGAGACGAGGCGAAAGGGGAGGTAGGGGAACGGAGGAGGGCAGGCATCCCCCGGAGGCGGGTGCCAACGTACACACCGTTCAACCAATACACAGCCACCACCCATGGGTGGTTTGAAAGCGGGGGCTCCCCGCGGCTGCCGGATCCAGGCCGGCACCCACGGGCGCCCATTACAGCGGGGCCTCCCCGCGGCCCGGTTCGCTGCAGCGCGCGGCTCGCGAAGCAGCTGGGCACAGCACGCTCCACAGATGTGTTTCTCCACGACGCCGCGGAGCCCCACAAACTAATGGAGCCGGGTGGATGCGGCCGCCTCCGTCCGTCCACACCCTCATCCCGCAGTGCCGCTGCGAGGGCCCAGCTAGTGATATTATACACACTATACGTTCACGGTCTGCGGCGTCCGAGGTGCTGCCTCGTCCGCGCCAGACGGACTGCCCCGCGGGCGCGCGCCGCTGACCTGCGCCTCGCCTCCGCGATGCGGAACTCCGGGAGGGAGAATGCGCAGCGCCGCACGTCCTGCAGGAAGGGCGGGAGGGTGGCACCTTCGCCCAGGCGGCTGAGGTCATCAGCGAGCGTGTTGACCTCACTCCAAATGTGGAAAGACTCCAAGTCAACGCCAGCCCCTGCGATGCGCAAGGCGATCTCCGAGATGTACACGTTGATGACAGGGTCCCTGGAGGCCAACCGGACAGCGCCTTGCAAGACCCCCTGCGCGTCGCCAACAAAGCTGACCCCGGCATGCACGTGCGAAATGACAGGCCGCCACATGATGAACGAGGCGAGCAGCACGAACACCTCCCAGCGCGCCTGGCTGCCGGGGTCGCCGACGACCGCCTGCGCGGCAGCTGCGTGAGACCTGCCCCACTGGACCTCGGTGTACGCGCACGGACGCACAGAAAACGGATGTACCACAGCGTCACGTACAGCAGCGCCCCTCCACCTGTGGTCGATGCGTCAAACGCCACAGTGAAATGCAGAACCGGGTCCGCTGCGCGGACGACCCGGGAAAATGGGCCAGCGGAGCCTGTCGCAAAGGCCCGGAGCCAGGTGAGGGCCCGTGCAATCTGCCTTCGGCCAACGCGCTTGCCGGCTGGCGCCGTGCACTGGGCAGCCCAGAGTTGCTGCACGAACGGCCGGAGCTGCGGGAGGAGCCCAGCGATCCAGGACGCCCGGCCCGCAAGACGGCGCACGTCGCGCAGCGGCGCCCACCGCACGGAGGCTAACTGGTCCACGGCCTCCAGCAACTCCACGCGCTTGGACTCCGGGAGCGTGATGACGACGCGGCGGGCTGCAGAGTCCGCCGCAATGGATGCACCAATCCAGTCGACTGCGGAACCCCGCCTGCCTTTCTTCCACTGCAGCCGCAGTCGGAGGGCGGCCCACAGCAAAACCGCGCGGCCGAAAATGAGGTCCCGGGCAGATTTGGACCCTGACGCCACCAAGATCGGGTCGTCGACGTAGAACTGCAAGTCGGCAGCGCTCTGATCCAATATCGACGCGGTGATGCGCGTGGTGAGAGCAGCAAGGCGCCCCCACAGCAGCGGCCCGCTAACGATCCCAAACAGCACCGTCTTGTAGGCGAAGTAGCCGCCAGCGCCCTGCCCAGCGACGAAACGACGTTCAACTTCGCCCACTTTGAGCATCTTGAAGGCGCTCTCGAAATCTAAGACCATGAACTCGACCTCGTCGCCAGGTTGCTGGGTGCCCAGCAGGCGCCGCGCTGCCTTGACCACATCGGACAGCTTCGGCAAAACGATCCGCTCGTACAGGCGGATGTTGCGGTTGACGCCCGACCGGCTGAGATCGTGTATAAGCCTGACTTTGACGCACGAACCCCTGTCCTTGACGAGGACGGCGAGCCGGCTCAGAGTCGGTTCGCCCACAGCCGTGCGCAACGCTTCAAGCGTCGGGTACAAGTCAGCAAAACCCTTTCCCCACCTCCGCCTGCAACTCGGCGTCGGCGGCCTCGCGGTTCTCCGCGTAGCTGGTGTAATTGCGGAAGCCGCCAGACAGGACGACTGGGTCGGCATACAGCTCAGCAGCGCGGTCCGCCTCGTCCTCCGAGACGCGGGGGAAGATGCCGCACGTCGGAATCGGCTCGACGATCCCCAGCGGCGCGTGAGACTTGATCCACGCCGGGACATGGACCTCCGGGACGCCCGCGGCAGCGACGAGCGCCTCGTAGAGGGCAGCGTCCAGACCCTCGTCTGCAGACTCGGCCAAGGGGCCGAGGCCCACGGCAGCGCGCACAGCTGTCGAAGCCGCGGCCGCGACTTCGCCCGGCAAGCCTTCCGCCCCAGGGTCCCCAAGCTGGGCTAGAGAAGCGAGCACCTCCTCGATGCGCCGCGTAGACCTGGTCTATCGCGCTGCGCAGCCGCGCGCCGACAGGGAGCCACCCGGGCACCTGCTGCAAGGAGAGCGCAGGCGACCTCATGCCGCCGATGGCCGCGTCATTCTCCCGCTGGCGGCGCCTCTTCCGCGCGTCGGGCGCGCCCGCGTCGACCCGCCCCTGCAAGACGATATGCACCGGGGCCGGCGGCGCTGGGAGACATTGCCCGCCCGCGCCATATGCGGCGGCCATGGCCTCGCAGAGATCCTCTGGCGGCTCCGCGCACAGGGCGCGCCGGCTGACGAGTCGCCCACCCGTGGCCAGGACTTTGCCGTCTGGCGGCGAATGGTGCAAGTGGCTGGGCGCGCCCGGGCAGACGCGCATGACCTCGGAGAGGAACGCCGCGTTCCCGAGGATGCCCTTGGGCACGACATGTGAGCAGCCGTAGCAGCAGAGGTCGCACCGGCGAAGCTGTGCCCCAGCCAAGCCGGCCAGCCGAAGGAACGCCAGCGTCTGCCTGATGCGCGACCTTGCCGGGAATGCCAGTGACCACCAGCCCCCGGCACGATGCTGTGCCTGCGCAAGCGCGGCCACGTGTCTGGAGAGCATGTCGGGCGCGGCGCCCCCGCGCGTGTCCGCGCGCGACGCAGCGCCGCTGCGCGGCGGCGGAGCGCCATGCAGCCATCTGACACGGCCCCTCCGGATTTCGGCCCGCAGCTTCCGGAAGACGCGGGGCTCGCGCAAGTCCACCGCCACGCTGGCAGCGCTGCCGTCGCCGCTGGCCCGGAGGATGCCAGCCGGAGTGGCCGCGGCGAGCCCCCTCCGCGCGACGGCGCGCGTGAGCGCCTCGCTTCCCCCAGAAACATCTAGGAACGCGGAGAGACCTGCAGGCCGCGCGGCCTCTGCCTGGCACGGCGAGACCTGCGCCGCCGGCTCTGTGTTGGACGCGCGCGGCCGCGCCTGCCCGAGGCGCCCGGGCTGCGGCGCGTGCCCCGGGCCCTCGGTGCGCACGAGTCTGGCGGCTGCAGGCGACGAACGTGCAAGCTGCTGGGCACCGCGGCCGCCGTTGCGTTGCTTTGACCGTGCCGCGGCCGCTGCAGCGCGCCTCGCCTGCATGCGCACGCAGCCCGCCGCTTTCCGAGACAACGGTCTGGCCGCCCGGCGCACCCGCCAGGGCCCCGCCGTTGCCCTGTCATCCATGGCGAAACCGCATGTGTCCACCGCAGCAGCAGACCGAGGGCCGGCAAACGCGTCTCCGACGCTGCTGCCGCCTGCCGGCCCCCCGGCGCTTCACCTGGACGCCGCTGATTTGCTGGTGCCGCCACCCTTGCCGCCCTTGCTGCCCTTGCCGCCCCGCGGCTGCCAGCCAGGGTGCGCTGGGCAGTGGATGGTGCGGTGGCCTGTGCGGCAGAACTCGCACGTGTGCGACCTGCGGTTGGGGCACTGGCCGTCGACGCAAGCCCCGTCGCGACCCCAAAGGAAGCAGAAGTCCTTTCCGTCGGCCGCCAGCTTCCAGCGGCCATCGGGGTGCTGCTCCGCCAGGCGCGGGTCCGCCGGCCGCGCCGGTGTTGTCCCGTAGGCAGACGGGCCGGCTCTGCCTGCCTCCTGTCGGTCTTCCGGCGCCTCTTGGCTGCCCGGGCCGACTCCGCGGGCTGCTCTGGCTGCTGGAACGCCAGGGAAGGCCTGGTGTGTGCCGCGTGGAGCTCCTTGAGCGCCGGGGTGAGGAACTCGTCCTGCCAGAAATCCCGGTCCGTGGCCGCTGCCTTGAACACGGTGTTCCATGGCATGCTGGTGTCGAGCTTGCTGAACGCCGGATGGTCTGCAGCAAACTGTTCCTGGTTCCGGCGCTCCTCTACCATCCATTCCAGGCGGCACCTCTGGTCCGCTTGGGCCGCCAACGCCCAAGAGTTCGGGAACATGGTGACCCGCTCCCGGAACTTCGCCGCGTAGGTGTCTAGAGTGCTGGGCAGGGCGACCGCGTCCATGATCGCACCAGTCCGGAAGACCCTCCAGCACTTCTCCCAAGTCTCGAAGCAGTCCGGGCCGCCGATCTCGACAGACCGCCAGGTCCCGTCGGCCTGGAGGATCTGGGCCACGAACTTGTTGCGACGCTCGGAGCGCAGCTGGTGCGGACCCCACACGCCGAAGTCGACGTAGATGCCCGGCCCGTGGGTGTGCAACCAGCTCAGGGCCGTGAGCTGCGCGTCACTGACCTGCTCGGACTGGAGCGGGGGATCCCCCAAAGCCAGGTACCGAGCCCGCTTCGCCGCCAACGCCTCACGGTCCAGCATTGCAACCTCCATGTCCCGGACCTGGTCGAGCACCATGCTCAGGCGCACCTTCGGCCCCACGACGGCTGGCTGTGCTGCAGCTGCAGCCTGCATACCCGCCGCTGGCGCCACCGCCGGGGCCGGCGGTGGCATGAGGTCCACCAGCGGCAGGTGGAGCTTGAGGCGTGCCGCATTGACGAGCATGCACACCCTCACCCGATCGACATGGGTTGCCGGACTGAGGGATGCAACTGCCGCCTCATGGATGTGCGGCGGTATGGCGGCCAACACTGGAATCGCATTGAGGTGCGGGTCCCCGAGCGCGGTCATGTAGGCTGTGAGGATGGGGGCGGGGACCGAGGCCCACGCCGCGACCGCAGCGATGTGCGCCCACCCTGCGATGACGCTGTCGCCTGGGTACAACGCGCGACCTGCCATCGCGTGGCCGGCTGCAGAATAGCTCACGCCAGCGAGCACAGCCAGCAGCCGGACATGGAAGACTCCCCCCTGAACGATGGCATGCACTCGAGCCAAAATGATTACGGACGGAAGTGCTTCTCCCACCCGCACCATCCCGGCAAGTCTGTCCAATGTTACCAATGATAAGTCTTATCCTGTACGCCCCGGACGCCTGGGGTCCCTATTGGTTTCCCGGTAGTTAGCTGGCGCACCTGGCGCGGCTGGAGCACGTGGCACGGTTGGCGCACGTGGGGCACGTGCCGCACCTGGCACGCTTGGGCATCCAGGGTGCCTGGAGACCCCTGAACCCGTGGCGCGCATGGCATGTGTGGTGCTCCTGAGCGATCTGCTGACACTCGGGTGCTACGTATGTGTTGGGATGGCGGGTGGGAGTGAGCTGGACGGCCTGCTATCTGAGAGGGTGTCTTGACCCCTCCCCCGACCCCCTCCCCCTGGACCTGGACGGGGGGCCGTGAGAGGTTAAAGCGTCCAAGATGTCCTCGGCGAGAAGATTAACATCATTGAGTATAGTCAAGTTTGCAAGCCTATGTTGGCCTCCTGGGGGGGGGTTCTTTGATCGATCACCTCAAAGATGGCCCCATGACGACCACCCAGGCTCCCAAGGGTGCCCCAACAGTGCCCCCCCCAAGAGGCGCCCAGGAGGCCCCAACAAGCCCTCAAGACGCCCCCAAAACGGCTCCTAAGAGACCCCAAAGAAACCCTCGAGGCTCCCTCGAAGCACCCAAGACGCTCAAGGAGGCCCCGGGACCGCCAAGAGGCCCCCAAGACACCCCAACAGACCTACAAGGAGATCTCGAGAGACATCCGTAGAGACTCTGGAAAGCATCCAAGAGGCCTGGCCTTTCTGTTCGCCCTCCTCCTCATCCTCCTCCTCATCCTCCTCCTCCTCCACCGAGTCCTCCTCCTACCTCCTCCCGTGTTCTTCCTCCATCCTAATCCTCCCCCTCTTCCTCCTCTTCATCTTCCTCATCCTCCTCCTCTTCTCTTCCTCCTCCTCCTCCTGTTCCTCCTCCATCCTCCCCATCTTGGGGTATGGCCGCTTCCCGGCCTTCAGTCCACTGCGTGCTCCCCCACATGCCTGATCAGGGTAACTCGCCCGAGCAGCGTTTCCAGATGGTCTCGTGACTACGCGACGCGTCCAGAATAACTCCTCGCTTCTGCCAGGCGGGAATCTGTCCAGATTCACCGCCCGCGGAACCGACGTCCTGGAGACACGGCGGGCGGTTGATATGGAAATGTTTGAGCCCCCGGGACGCAAAACGTAGCCTCTGGAGGTCCACGAAAATCGATCCTGCAGGGGGCGGTCATGTATAAATCCCCGCCTTGAACTGTCACAAACGCATCGGTCGGGCACGCTGGGCGTTTCGCTCGAGACATTCCCACCGTGTGTGATAATGAATATTTCAATCTGGAACAGCTTCACGGACGGAGCGCGGGACCTCTCCAAAAAACGTTGCCTCCTCCTCCTCCTCGCCTTCCTCCACCTCATCCACCTCCTCCTCCTCCTCCTCCTCCGCCGCCTCCTCCTTTCCTCCTCCTCCTCCTCCTCCTCCTCCTCCTCCTCCTCCTCCTCCTGTTCCTTCTCCTCCTCCTCCTCATCCACCTCCTCCTCCTCCACCTCCTCGTCCTCCTTCCCTTCTACTCGTCCTCCTCATCCTCCTCCTCCTCCTCCTCCTCCTCTTCCTCCTCCTCCTCCTCCTCCTCCTCCTCCTCCTCCTCCTCCTCTCCTCCTCCTCCTCCCTCCTCCCTCCTCTCCTCCTCCTCCTCCCCTCCTCCTTTTCCTCCTCCTCTTCCTCCTCCTCCTCCTCCTCCTTCCCTCCTCCTCCTCCTCCCCCCCTCCTCCTCCTCCTCCTCCTCCTCCTCCTCCCTCCTCCTCCTCCTCCTCCCCCTCCTCCTCCTACTCCTCCTCCTCCTCCTCTTCCTCCTCGTCCTCCTCCTCCTCCTGCGCACGCAGTAGAGAGAAAGGGAGCGAGGTCCCTCTGTCTCAAATACACTGGATGGGGGGGCCATCGGAGAGGACCTGTTTGCCTCCCTGCCAAGATGTGAAGGGCCCTGGCAGGGGCCAGCGACAGCCCCCCCCCCAAAAAAAGAAACAAAAAAACAAAAAAACAAAACAAAAAAAAAAAAAAAAAAAAAAAAAAAAAAAAAAAAAAAAAAATCCCAGCTCCCGTAGCTCTGCCGTTCAATATGGCGCAATGCCTCCTGCCAGCCTTCATCCAGCTGGCCGCGCAACGAGCGAAGGCAGCCCGCGGAGACAGGCACGGCCAGCTGGGCGGCGGCGGGAGCGCAGAGCGACACACAGCGTGGCCACGTGACCACTGCGCACCACCAGAGCTCCTCCCCCGCCCGCTCACGACGGCCGACGACTCAACGACACCTCCACCCTCCATGGGCTCCGCACGGGCGCCTCCCGCGCCGACTGCGGCCTCACTGCTGCCTCCTACGCTGAGGGCGCCAGCATCCAACAGGGGAAGGCTGGCGCCCTGAGCGCCAGGGGCAGCACCAACATCAACGGCAGGCGAGCTGCTCAGGCGAGGGAAAGGCGCCTGACGACCGCGCACGCCGCCAGACCCGACGACCCGATCACCGCCTCGCCTCACAGCTCCAACGCTCCCAGAAAGAAGGGAGGCCCCCGTGGTGTGAGCCAAAGAAGAGACACGCGGTCGGTCAAGGCTGACTCCTTGACCCCGCAGCTCAAACTAGCTGGATCCCACCGCTCAGCGAGGGGGATCCACTCTTTTCCTTGCATACATCGACCCTGCTCGATGTTGCGGAGCACACGCTTGCCCCAAGCAGATGGCCCAGGCGGACAAGGGTCCCGAAACTGCTTGGAGATGGTGACACCCCCAGCTACACACAAAGCACACGCCACTCCGCGCCTCCCACCAGCGAGGGTGAAGGGGGCACGCGCGACGTGTGGCACGCCCCTCTCTCTGCAACGCGGCGACCGCAACACCGGCGCGAGACTCGACCGCTGAGACCACCACAGGAGGGGGAATAACCCGCAACACAGGCGCGTCAACAACCGATCTTTTGACGCGTTTCGACGGCGGCACGCGCAAGCAACCAAGAGCGGCCACGGGCGGACCACATGCACCAACCCACGTGGTGAGCGCACTGACCACCCTGAATATGCTTTTGAAAAATTGCGATACTCAAGCGGGGCACGGCTGCACTCGGCAGCTTGCCTCACGCATGTACCCGCCATGTCGCCACCAAGCTGGGCTCTAGCGGAAACGCGCCCTGCAGCCACATCAACTTGGCAGGTATGCGCTTTGACCTTGCAAAGGTCGAGCTGATCGAGGCCACCTCTGTCCTCGATGGCGCGCCAGACTCGCTTCCATAGGTCAGCCCACGCACTAGTGGCTGAGCAACAAAACTGGCGTCCACGGGGCCAGGCCCCAGGAAAAAAAAATGGAGTCGGTCCAGAAAACAGCGCCTGGGAGGGCCTGCTTGAGGCCCATCAGCAGGGCCCAGAGCCCACACGCATCGATATCAAAATGTCCCGCGGGGGGGGGCATCCAGCAACCACCGCGCTCTTCGCACGGCTCGGGGGGCATGTCGGGATCATTATGCAACGACGCGATGTCCCACCCAAGCGATCGCGCCGTGGGGGGCAGTTCAGAATCGAACAAACCCCCATCCAGAAAGCAATCCCATCCTAGGAGGTCTGGGCCCCCACGTAGCCACAACTCTCCTGGGGGGGGCGGGCGGGGCGGAGGAGGAGCAGGCAGCGGCGCGAGCAACCTCCCCATGAGAAGGCGAACAAGGGGATCGGCCGCTGCCTCAATCAAAACTTGCGCGCCCTCGGGGGCTTCCTGCTCGAGCTCTAACAAAGCGTGATGACCCGCGCACCCTACCTGGCGATGCAGGAGGGCCCCTGGGGCGGCGCGGCGCACCTTACACATCTGCTCAGAGGAGAGCCCCAACTGGAATTGCCTGTCCTGGGGTCATTGGCCGCCCGAGACAACACTAACAATGCACGCCTTCTCATTCGCCTTGAGCTCGGGCATGCCTGACTTGATTGGTGCCAAAAAGAGGCCCTGCACAAACCCGGGGGCCTGAAGGTGGTCCGCGACCTTGCTCCAAAGCCAGCTGTCGACCACAGTGGCAAGAGCTTCCTGAACAGTGCGTGGACACAGCGCCTCAACCGAGAAATCGCCCACACTGGGGTGGTACCAGTCGAGGCCATTCATCGCGATGCCAAGACGTCTGGCTGTGGCGACCGCTGCCGCGAGCGGTCCGCGAACAGCTTTCCACGGTGAGCCGCGCTCACGTAACTGACTCCACGCTCCATCCAGACTTTGCACCACCACCCCACGAGGAACCCAACCGCCCCAAAGAGATGAGGCGATCGAGAGGAAGGGGGAGACATTGAGGTGGTACGCTGAATCAATGCGCGGTATTCCAGGAAGCTGCAACATGAGAGCGATGGACCTGCCTGCAAGCTTCTACGACTGAACACTGGCCTGCTGGTATCTGGCGAGGGTGACCCCGCGTCAATTACAGCCCATCACCCCCGACCCGTAAGAGGTGGAGGCCTGCGCAGCTGCACGCACCATGTTATGCACGCGCCTTTTTTGAAAAGCTTGCCAGACAGGACTAAACTCTTCTTATGCCGCACTCTCGACGCATTCACACGTTCAGCCTTGATGCGACGCTCAATCACACCGCCTGCAGCGTAATCGATGCCGAGATTACGCTCGCCCTGCGCACCATTGACACGCATGGCCCGCAGCGCCGCGGCAAGCTGCGCTCTCAATTCAGAGCAGGAACAAAGCACTCGTGACTTAAGCTTGCCGATAGGCAGATTCACCGCCTCTAACTGGTCATGCAGCATGCGCGTGGCCTGCACGAACGCGTCGCGCACCTGCTCGGAGGACCCAACCCTGTGCAGCCCCGCGTCGTCAACAACAACCCCGATCTGCACCCCGCGAGCCGCGCGCAGTGGAAAGGCAGCCTGCGCCGCATCAAGCGGGGCCAGCAGCGCGAGCTGAAGCATTAGAGTGGCGAACTGACAACCTGACAGCACAGCTTGCTGCGAACAGATGGGGGCCGATGTGGCCCCAGCATGGCCCGGGGCCCGCGGAGCCCGATACAGGCCCACCAAAAGCCGCAGCTGCCGACGGGGAAATCCCGTGGCTCGAGCCGCTCTCAGCAGCTCACCGTGTCGAACGTTTTCGAAAGCTTTGTGGGGGTCCAAGAGGGCCGTCCCAGCAAAAAGGCGACGAGCTTGAGCCCATTCGGCGAAGGCGGCTTGAATCCAGACCAGGCGACCCGACCCCCTCCCCCGAGTCGACCACCAAAACTCACGAAAGTTCAGTTCCTGTCAACGCCTTATGAGCGTGCGACGGAGACGCCCCTGCACTCGAGAGGTGATGTGCATGAGTGGCCACTCGAAGCTGCGTTCAATGGTGAGGATGAGCTGCCTGAAACACTCAAGACCTTCATCAGGCAGCTCTAGCAACTGCCTTGGCGATATATGATCATAACCTGCCCCGCTAGCGGCCTTGAAACTGCGAAGACACGACTTCAGATCCTCCAGATCGAACCTTGGCAGCTCGGGCCCCATGTCTGCGGGCCAGACGAGCGGGTCACGCAGAGACTTCACTTCCCAGTACTCCCCCCACTCAGACACAAGCAACTCCATCTCCTCCTCCTGACTGGCTGGCGTTGGCGGCAGAGAGCCGTCATGCTTGAAACTAGGGCTGCTGTGCCACGGCGCGGGCGGCTTCGGCAGTCGAAACAAGGCTCCACCTCCTGCGTTGGAGCGAGACTTGACCCAGTTCTTCCAGCTGGCATCTCTGTGATGCGCAGCCGCCCGCTGGCGCCTGTCCGACAGCTGTCTGGCGACGCGCCCGAGAGAGGTCGAGAGCCCCCACGACGCCGAGGGCGCAACCCACAACAGCACGACCCACGGCTTGGCGCCGGCATCAGTGAACCCCATCACCTTACGCAGCGAGCTTGTCGGCCAGCGAAAGAGTGGCACGACGACGCGAAGCAGACTGAAACTTGCCAAGCTCGCTGAAAACTTGCACAACTAGCCGCCACCAAGTGGCGAACGGCGAGAGCCTCGGGCGCGGCATGGCCGAGGGCTTGCGCGCTGCAGCACGCTGCCGCCTCAGCGGCCTGGCCCTGCCCGAGTAGAGGTGCGCCTCGCTGGAGCATATCTGGTTGATGTCCACGAACTCGCGCTCCATGGCGTGCACGAAGCTCTCCCACAGCACCTGGGCGCTGACCTGGGCGCGAACCTTCTCCTCGACGGAGTGCCAGGCCGCACTTTGCACCCTGAGTCCCTGAGGTCGTTGCCGAGGGAACATGCGCGGCACACGAATCTGAAGTAATGTGGAGACTTGCCGCAGCCCTTGGATGCACAGCTTGACAGGGTAATGCGGGCTGGTGCCGCTGTCGGTGAGCACACACAGATGATTCCGATACTGAAGGCCCTCGGATACGACGAAATAGTCCAGCACATTGCCTGAGCCTCCAGTACACGTAGCTACGCTGGGCGACAACATATGACCTGAGATGGCTTCAACCCAACCTGACCCAGCCAGCTCATCTGGCCTGAGGTTCCAATCTCCCGAGAGAACGTTTGGCATGCCAAACTGCCTGGCAACTGCACCCAATCTGCACAGGATGTACCGGCTCGCAGGAGATAGCCCCTGCGAGTCGTGCATGTATACAACTGCCCACAGTATGCCGCCAGGCACCACGCCCGATATGTGACGTACTGCTACTCTAGCTTCTTCAAGAGCTAGAGGCTGGTCGACCAGCCTCCGTGTCGATGTTGGACCATGTGAGAGAGACCACCTGGTGTGCCTCCCTGCACAGTCACCTTGGCCGCAGTAGCCGAAGCCCTCCAGCCCATGTGTCGGGCCTCTGTTCCCAAGCTGAACACTGCGAAACATGATGCTCCTGGATGCCGACTGCGTCCGCATCAAGAACAGCCGGCGCGTTAAGTATTGCATCGAGCCCGACACGGCCTGAGACATTGGAGGTGACACAGGCCCACGTGTTAGGAAGAGGGCGAGGAGACTCTGGCCTTCTTGACCGCGTGCTCCTGCATGGCTGCCAAGAGGCTGGTGTACAACGATCGGCTGATCTTGGTCCTGCCCTCGCAGCCTGCCTCGTCTGGATATTGTTCCATATCTGAGGGGTCACTGACTGGGATGTTCTGAGCCTTCAGAAATTCATCAAAGAACTCGGGCCTGCCATACTGCTCCCAAAACGCTGCATCTGGAACGCCAGGCACGCCACTAACACCAGAAGGCTCCTGAGCTTGCGGCTGCTGCTGCTGCTGGGCCTGCTGCTGGCGCTGGTGTTCAGCCTCCGCTGCTGCATCTGTTGTTGTTTTGGCCTGCTGCTCCTCGAGCTGCGCCCTGCCCTGCTCGGCGATGGGCCTGAGCGCCTCTGCTGCACTTGGCACGACGGCGGCGAGGGACTGGGCGAGGCTCTCGAGCTGCGAGAGAGGGTCCGAGACATGCTGCTTGCCACCGCCGATTGCAGCGTAGGCGGCTGCAGCCTTGCTAGCTGCCTCGTCGGCCCTGGCCTTGCACTCAGCCAGGTCAGTGGCGCACTGCTGCATGTACTCCATGGCTTTGGCCGCCGCAGCCGCCGCCTTGTCGTACTTGGATTGCGCATGTTCGAGCTTCTGCTGGATGGCATCAGACGCCTGCCGAGCTGCACGAGCCGTAGGAAGAGCATCACCATTATGCAGACTGCGGACCGCCGGAACAAGAGCCGCATTCTTGGGTGACAGCCCTTGAGCAACAGCTGCATCGTCAGCGCAAGGCATCTTAGCATACACGGCAACGAGCTCATCAGACAGAACGACAGCAGGTGGGCTAGCATGAGGAGGCCCATCCTTCCACTTGCCTGACGGCCCCCGTTGCGTCGCGCCCTTGGGCACGTTGGGTGGCTCGGTCCCACAGATGCGGCACGTGGTCCGCCAGTGGAAATTGCCTTTTATACCCGCATCGCTTCTCCTCCCCCTCCTCCTCCTCCTCCTCCTCCTCCTCCTCCTCCTCCTCCTCCTCCTCTTCTGTCTCCTCCTCCTCCTCCTCCTCCTCCTCCTCCTCCTCCTCCTCCTCCTCCTCCTCCTCCTCCTCCCCTCCCCATCCTCTTCCCCTCCTCCTCGTCCTCCTCCTCCTCCTCCTCCTCCTCCTCCTCCTCCTCCTCCTCCTCCTCCTCCTCCTCCCCCTCCTCCTCCTCCTCCTCCTCCTCCTCCTCCTCCTCCTCCTCCTCCTCCTCCTCCCCCTCCCCATCCTCTTCCACCTCCTCCTCGTCCTCCTCCTCCTTCTCCTGCTCCTCCTCCTCCTCGTGAAGTCCTTCCCCTGGAGGTGGGCGGGGTCCTCTGTCGCACCGTCGAGGTGCGCGAGGCCTCCGACAACGCAGCCCGCGAACTCTGACGGGGCCCGCCGCTGCTATGCCTGGCTGTGCATGGTGCATCGGGCGCGGAGCGGCTCCGAGGAGCCCTCGGCGCTCGCTGTCGCTGCAAGGAGGGCTCGCGCGAGCGGAGGCCAGCAGCAGGGCTGGTGCCAAAAACGCTCGGGACGTTTTTCAGCTACACGCAAGAGTGACCATGGGTAAGAGTGCCCTTTTGTGCGCGGCTGTTTGGCGGCCGCGGGGGGTCCAAACCCAAGCGCGCAAGACGCCGCTGCCGAGTCGCGTTCGGCGATCGGGGGACCCCACTGGGCCCGTACCAAAAGTCACTCTGGCGAAGAGCCACTCTTACGTCTAGTCGAGTTGTTTGTTCCAACATTTCGGTTGCCGACTAACCAAATAGGGGGGATAAACGGCAGCCCGAAACAAAAGAGCACAACAAACAAACAAAAAACGACAGTACAACGAACGGAACCGGACCGAAAGCGGCGCGACAAAAAGAATCCCAAGACAGAAGACACGACAAAGCAGCAACGAATGAAACAAAACAAATAGAACTGATTTAAAACAAAAAGAAACGTCGGTCTGGAAAACGGAAAATAACACGCCCCCAGCGTTTTTACCATCATCAAAAGGCCAGCACGCGTCTCGCCGCGAGGCAATTGCCCTGCGAGCCTGGAGCCCAGTGGAGGAGCGCTGCCGCCACCGTCGCTCGGCGGGGCTCCACTGTTCATGCACTCATCTTCCAAGGTGTCTTTTGAGGAACATCCTGGAGGCCTCGCGCGGCAACTTGAGACCCAGTGTGCATCGGATCCAGGTCGAACGTACGTCGGATTTACGTCGGATCTGCGGATCTGCGTCGGAGCAACGCCTTGCGAACGTCATCCTGTATCTTGCAGGGCGGACGTGCAGACTAGAGAATACCTCGATTACGCGTCGAGCGAGGCCTCCAAGATTTTCCCGACAAGGTGTCCCATGTGATCGATCACTCCAGGGTTGCCTTTGCAAATGACGACGCGGAACGGCCCTCGCCGCCTGCTGGCCCTGCTGCCAGGGACATCGTCTTGGCGCATGCCTTCGGAGGGGTCATTGCGTCGCTGTGGTCGTCTTCCCCCAGCAGACCTCCGACAGCAAAGCCTGCTCGCCCCAGATGCTTCACGTACACATTCAAGTACCGGAGCCCACTCTCAGTATGCCCATGAACGACTTTCAGCTCAACCTTACCAAAGGCAATCCATTCAGGCGTGTCGGCAGCTTGTTTCAAAATGCTGTGATGGTACCCCCCAGCCTGCTTTGCCTCTGCCCATGACCCTGTGACGTTCACTTCTTGGAAGTACATGTCGGCGCAGTGTCCTCCCAATCGTTGCGCAGACGCCTGGACGCGAAGCAGTGCGCTTTCAGCGCTCATTCCACGAGGGATGTTGATCAGAACATGCTTACCCGCCTTCATCAAATCGAATCGGTCACCATGAATGTTCTGCAGATGCGGATCGCCTGTGGCAGCAATCATGCCTGGTGCCACTACAGCCACAGGGGGAACCAAGGGAGCCGCCGCCGAAACCTGCGCTGACATGGTCGTGCCCTGGCAGGGAAACGTCGACAATTCAGCAGACACATAGATTGCGTAGCTGCCCCAGCAAGGACCATCGCTCAAGCTGCTTCCATGGTCAGTGCCAACCACTAGGCACGATCCGCCGTGACAATCTCCCATGATTTGGGCAGCATCGTGCCACCAATATGGGCTCCCTCCCCCAGAAGCCGTGCTAGCACCGAACTCGTTGCCCAGGCCATGGAGGTCATCATTATTTTCCCCTGTGCCTGGTAAGGAGTAAGGAGTTTTGTAACCGCCAGGAACGGCAACCCGAGCTCCATTGTTGGAGTACCACCAATTGAACACCAAGCCACCATCGGCACCAAAAATTGGGTCTCCTGGAAGACCATCCCCATTGAAACTGGCTGGCATGTCGGAGGCAATGTGTGTGTCACTGGCAGTACCATCTCCTGTTACGAATATTCTCCCAGGGCTGTGCTCGGAGAAATAATCATGCATCGATTTGGTGCTGCTCATGAGCTCCCACGTCTTCGACATTTCGCAAGCACCGTCTGTGTGTCGAGCGATTGTGACGTACTTCACGGGAACAGTCCCCACTGAAGCGTCGACAAAGTCGCTAGTAAGGCTTGTGGCGGCGCTACCAGCACTGCCGTACCAAGCGGGAGCCCCGTACCCCATATTCCCACCATCGCAGGGATTGATGTTTGCATACAACATCCACGGATTAGCAGACGTCGGAGCCGGCGTCGGGGGAACATGACCCGGAGCAAACGTCGGATGTGGAGTAGGCCACCCCAGAGGATACGTCGGGGACGGCGTCGGGTAGGCCGTCGGGAACGCCGTCGGGTAGGCTGTCGGGAACGCCGTCGGGTAGGCCGTCGGGAACGCCGTCGGGTAGGCTGTCGGGAACGCCGTCGGGTAGGCCGTCGGGAACGCCGTCGGGAATGCCGTCGGATAGGGCGTCGGGTAGGGCGTCGGATAGGGCGTCGGATACGGCGTCGGGTAGGGCGTCGGGTATGGCGTCGGGCTAGGCGTCGCTGCGCTACCTCCCCAAATGTGAAACACTACATCTTCTAACTTCTTGTAGCTGGAGCACGAAGAGCCACCGTTGACGCAGCGGTAACCTGTAGGGCCAGCCCAGCAATCGACTGCCCCATGCCCAAAGAAATCCGCCGGCATGCCCTTGCTAGGATAGCAAGATGTGTGAATTGTTCGGCTGTCCCCCTTCCCTGCGGAGGGCCCCCGAGAACCCCAAATCCTCTAATTCGCATGGTAAAAAGTTCCAACGAGACCGCACGACGGCCCAAGATGCCCCCAAAATGGCCCCGAGATGGCCCCAGATGTCCCCAGCTGGTCTCCAATGGGCTCCTAAACGGCTCCGAGACCTCCAAAACTGCATAAAGACGGGCTTCACACCCGAACACACACTATTTGGGAGATTTGCGTGCCAGCTCTCCTTTGGGGGCCCGCCGTGAGTCGCCCCGCGTTGGAGTACCATGTGGGACCTGCTCTACAGAAGGAAAATACCGTAAATGGATATACCCTTTCTTCGACCTTGTGCTGCGACGAACGCAACGGCCGCGTTGTCTATAGACGTATCAATCCCGAATGCATATACATACGTAGCGGCACCCAATGTGTCCGTCGATGTGTGTAGCTAGATCGTTAGAACTGTATTTGGTCTAGGCCTGAGATTATGGTGCTCTACAAGGACGTGGACTGGGCCATGCAAGCTCTGCGGGTTCAGATATTGATGTATTCTTCCGCTGCCAATGCAAATTCGGAATACCAGAGCTCACCTTCGAGGCCCAAGACCAGACTGCCAGTCGCCTCCTTCAGTCCTACTGCTTGCACATGTCGTGTTCCTTCTCCTCCTCCTCCTCCTCCTCCTCCTCCCTTTCCTTCTCCTCCTCCTCCTCCTCCTCCTCATGCTCCTCCTCCTCATCCTCATCCTCATCCCCCTCCTCCTTATCCTCCTCTTCCTCCTCCTCTCCCTCCTCCTCCTCCTCCTCCCCCCCCTCCTTCTCCTCATCCTCCTCCTCCTCCTCTTCCTCCTCTTCTTCTTCATCCTCCTCCTCCGTCCCTCCTGTCTTCTCGCTTTCAACGTCGCTAAAACAGCGCAATATGGAATAACCTGGTCGGCCATTCAAAATTCATGCCTTCCACATCCTTCGTGCTCTCCACGTCCTCCTCCTGCTGATCCGCTTCATGGTGCTGCTGATCAATGTCGTCACCCATCCCTTGTCCGCATAGATAAGCCCTACATGTCGCACCACCAAACGAGTCTGTAGGCCAGACCAGGCTTGTCGATTGAGAGCAACTGACAAAATTGACTACCCTGAAGCTAAACAATGACAAGTAGAAAGATCGAGGGCTGGGCGTTTGCCAAGTGCGGCTCTCGCATTACCGCCGCGCAGCTTCGCCTGAACAGTTTCTAATGGTTACACTGGTTTAGGCCAAAAACTATTCAACATGCGGCTTTCGCTTGAGACTCCCTCAAATGCTATGGCCCGAAATTCCAAAACATGCGAAGACACGAATGGAGGGTTGCGCAGTTCCAAGCCTGGACGACCGCCTGGAGCTGACGCCGCCTGCATGCCCAGAACTCTGAGATCTGCACTTGCACAGGGAGCCTATCGCTGGACACTTCCTTGGACCTGCTCATCCGATCCCTCTGCGCTTCTTTCAGATGGAGACGTGGTGAGTGGATCCATTTCAGAACGCTGCCTCGCGCGAATGGCAGGCCCAGCGAGGGCGCTCGTCGTTTAAGGGGGGCGCTCCCCGCGGTGGAAACGAGCACCTGTGGGGATTGATGAGGAGGGGACTTGGGACGGGAGGGCGCATTGCAGCACAGATGATGCATCCTGGGCAGAATGTGGTCCTCCTGCTCCTCCCCATTCCTCCTCCGCCTCCTCCTCCTCACCCTCCTCATCTTCCTCCTCTTCCTCCTCCTCCTCCTCCTCCTCCTGCTCCTCCTCCTCCCCCGCCTCCTCCTACCGTCTCCTCATTCCTTCTCATCCTCCTCATCCTCGCCAACTTGCACTCCGCATGGCACCCGCACTTCCTGGGGGTCGGCGTAAAAGCCACGAGTATTTAGAAACCGCCCACACGCAAGTCTGAGGGGTGTGTGGGACTTAGTGTCGAGAACTTCTTGCAAGGCTGCAACCCCCAGGCCTTCCTTTCTCCACCAGTAGGAGCCGCCATTTCGTCGCCCATGTCGGGCCCAAGACGGCCATAAAGAAGGGTCCGAGACAAGCTCGAACGTCGTATCGTTCCCAGCACTATCTGGACCAAATGTCGCTCTATGTTGTCCCCTCTTGTCATCCACGATCGGCTCACTCTTGGCATCCAAGATCGGCTCTTTGGACCTGCATGAACGCCCATTCGGCCAGCGTGCGCCAACAAATTGGAAACTATATAAACAACCTGGGGCACAAACCAGCGCCGACTCGACCGTTGACGGGGTAAGTTAGGACGTAGCTGGGGCCTATCACGGGGATGTTCGCGGTAGGGCCGTCTGGATGCCCCGAAGGGCCGCCTCAGGCCAATAATGCCCACTCTTTAGCCCACGTGAAAGAACTCGTGGGCCGTCCCTGGGCAATGTCGAAACGTCTGGAAGCTGCACGGCCGTGTTCGACTGAGATCGGCAGGTTTTCAGCCGGTCGTTCGCCGACCTTCGGCTCGCCCAAGAGCAACAGAAAGGGCGAGCGAGCAATGAAAGCGAAGCGTTTAGAATCGGCCACGGTGTCTGCACGGAGTGGGAGTGATCAATTGCTCGTCTGTTGTCTTGACTGCGCGTTTCCCCAAACAATGCTTGCACTTAGGGGCCCTTACTTTGCTCAACGATGCCGGGACCAGGGGAGGTTTTTGCGGGCAGTGCCGTCCGTCGCCGCCGCTCGTCTCGGGACCAGGGGCGGCCGTCGCCGTCCGTGCCGCCCGTCGCCCATCCTAAATATGATGTCGCACCATCCCAGGCAAGCCCGTATCGGCCCCCCGTCATCCTCAACAAAAAACAATTCGCGCGCACTCGTCTATCAGAAATCACAAATGTTCAATCATCCATTGCCAAAAAAAACGAAACAAAACAAGGTGCACACGCGCGCGTCGTCGCGCGTGCATCCCGAAATCCTTCAAAAACCTTCGGTGCCATAAGGATGTCACAATCGAATGTCCAGAAACATTTCTAAAATGGCAGAATTGCAAAGCGGAAAAAAGACATGCACGTGCGCTTTTGCTAATTCGTAGGACAGCCATTGGTCATTCAACATGCTTACAACATGATACCAATCGGACTTCCCGCGCGCATGTCGAAATCGTTCGAACGCCCTTGCGCGAATGCTGGGGTGAGAACCCATTGCAAAAAAACAAAACGAATTGCACGCGCGCGCGTCGTCGCGCGCGCATGCCGAAATCCCCCAAAAACCCATGGTTCCGTACCGGTTGCATAACCGGCTGCCGAAAAACATTCAACATCACAACGATTCGCAAAATAGAATTTCCAAAAATGTTTGCGCGCGCGCTCCTGCGAATTATTAAACAAACCGTTGGATTTTCCACGTGTGCATTGAAATCTGCCAAACGGGCCATTGGCGCCGCATGCCGATATCATTCGCGCGCCCTTTTGCGCGCGTGCTGGGGGGGCACGATCCGTGAGAAAGAACACCATGCGGGCCTCTCTCGCGCGTCGGCCGCGCACGCATGCCGAACTCCTTCCAAAACCTTCATCACCGACATGAGGGCGCCGTCATCGTCGTTGGCGTGGTCAACATCGGCGCCAACACGAGCCGCGCCTTCGTCGGTGCGAACATCGTCACCAACATCGCTACGACCATCATCGTGTCTACCGTTGTCGACGTTGTCAGAAACCGCCCCCGCCCAAGTCGCCGACTCGCAGTGAAGAACCCGCTGGGATGTACCCAGCGGTCAGCGCCACCGCGGCCGCGCTGGTGGCGCCAAACTAGCTGGCCGCTGCAAGGCGCTAGGGTTGGCGCGGCCGTAGAGACGCACCAGCTAACGCCAAGCAAGCATCGCAATCGCCACCGCATGCGTTTTGCAAACCAAATTGCGGGTGGGTGGGTGGGATGTTTGCAAGAGCATGGGATGTGTCGATTCGCTTGTTAAAACCAATTCTCTTTTCTGAAAGAAGAACAGACTCTACCCCCCCTTCCGGAGTTACCTCTGCACCTTTTCGTATTGCAATTTACATTTGGTTCTGCCCGATCGCCCATCCGAAATACGAATTCATAATATCCCTGCCAGGCCGGTATCACTCCTCCACGACATCCTCTGCAAAAAACTATGCGCGCGCACTCGTTCATCCAAAATCATAAATTTGCAAGAACCCCTTTTGCAAAAAATGAATCGAAATTCACACGCGCGCGTCGTCGCGCGCTCATGCCGAAATGCTTCAACAACTCTCCGTTTCAACAAGATTCCACAATCGAGTTTCCCAAACAAATACAAAAAAACACAGGGTTTTGCAACACGATATGTATAAATATATATATATATAGTTTGTTTGTTTCTTTCGAAATCTTCAGAAAACCATCGGTTCTCCATCGGTTCTCAATATCTCCACAAATACTACCAATGGGCTTCGGGCGTGCGCATGTCGAAATTTGTCGAACGCCCTTGCGCGCGAGCCTTCGCAAGAATCCTCTGCAAACGACTGTGACGAAAAGCAAGCGCGCGCGTCGTCGCGCGCGAATGCCGAAATCCTTCGTCGCGCGCGCGCATGCCGAAACCTCCAGTTTCGGAAGGGTTTCAAAATCGAGTGTCCAAAACAACCTACAAAAACACAAGGTTTCGCAACACGGATTCTCAACGAAAGCGTGCGCGCGCGCTCTTGCGGCGTCGCCGTCGTCGTCGTCGCCGTGTTCCCTCCTCCCTCGTCGTTGTCGTCGTCGCCGTCGTCGTCCTCTGTTTCCTCGTCGTCGTCGTCCTCTTTGGCGTCGTCGTCGTTTCCGTCGTCGTTGTCGCCGTGGTCGTCCTTCTTCCTCCCTCGACATCGTCGTCCGTCGTCGGCGTCTCGTCGTCGTCCCTCCTAATTCGTCGCCGTCGTCGTCGTCATCATCCCTCCTCCCTCGTCGTTGTCGTCGTCGGCGTCGCCGTCCTCCGTCCTTTTTCGTCGTTCGCGTCGTCGCCGTCCTCCCTCCTCCCTCGTCATTGTCGTCGTTGTC